AAGAGGGCTTCGGATTCCCCTGAAACTGGAGTTAAGGACAGTTCATAGCCACCATGTGGGTGCTGGGACTCAAATCCGGGTCCTCTGCAAGAGCAGTCAGTGCTCTTAACTGCTGAGCCATCTCTCCAGGCCCCAGTTTTATGTATTTATATAAAATCTAGGATCTGGGATTGGGGACATGGCTCAGTGGGTAGTGATTGCTGTGCAAACATGAGGACCTGAGTTCAGATCTCCAGAACCCACATACAAAGCCTGACTTGGCAGAGCACTACTGTAACCCCACACTGGGAGACTGAATCAGATGGATCCCAGAGTTTGCTGGCAGAATCAGTCTAGCTGAATAGGTGAGCTCCAGGTTCAGTGAGAAACCCTGCCTCAAGAAATAAGCTGAAGAGTGATAGAAGATATTTGGCATGAGCCTCTGGTTTCCGAGTACTCAAACACACCTGGACACAAGCATACACCATGCGCATGCGCTCAGCCTAAAAAGAATTTAGTGTGTCCTCTCACAGTACCTGGAATATTGTGGACCAAAACTGTAGGAAGAGGGATCTGTCAGATATTGCTAAGTGCTTAACACTCTCTAAAATCAACACTACCAGCAACCAAGTAATTGTAGATTACTTAGATTGTATCTTTAAATAAGAACTTCAAGATCGGGGGTTCTGGAGAGACGGCTCGACAGTTAAGAGCACTGGCTGCTCTTGCAGAAGACTCAGGTTTGGAACCCCAGCACCCACCAAGCGGCTAACAACAACCCACCAAAATTCCAGTTCCAGGGGATCCAACGCCCTCTTCTGGCTTCCACAGCTACTGCATGACATGATTGCTCTTACATACATGCAAGCAAAACACTCACACACATAAAACAAAAATAAATAAATTTCAAAAGGCCCTCAAGATAGACCCTTCAGTGGCTCCTTGACTACATCTTAATTTATACATGTCTGTCTTTACAGGGTGAGCCTGGGAAGGACCAACAAACTTTGGGATCAAAGGGAGCCTTTGGCTTCCAGCATCCTGTCAGGTAATATGACTTCATGGTAAGAAATGTGTGATTCTTTCTGATATGGACATTAGTACATATCAGGTCGACTGTATATATTTTCAACAAAGTAGAAAGTGAAATATATTCACTAGTATTATTTTGTTTCTTTATACCAAGGAATTTCAAAGATATTCTGTTGGATTTCTGGACTCTGTTCATGACTCTGTATGTCTCTTTAGTATAGCATTGCAAGCTAGAGTGAACCTCTTTCTTTTATACTGTCTACTTATCACATTTTATACCTTGTGTTAAGGTCAATCACATCTGAACTGTGTGTGCATATGTAATACATAACTCGCACTTACTTGTATTTACTTAGTGAAGTTCCTTCTGCACTCTTCCAGGGTATAAGTTAATACGTTGTTCATTGCCAAATAGACCTTTAAAATGCATGTGATAAGTGAGTCAGTGCTGGATGCTGGTTCCGGAACTGTGGGGAGAGGAACATGTGTGTGAAAGCATTTTCCTTCCCATTTCTGCTCCTGGCAGTGACCAGGACTCCTGACCCTGTATTTCACTTATACACCATCCTCTTTAGATACCTAGCTCATGTGTCTCTATCTCTCATCTCTGAGTCTCTTACCTCTCTCTCAGTCTCTCTCAGTCTCTCTCTCTCTCTCTCTCTCTCTCTCTCTCTCTCTCTCTCTCTCAACTGAGGGCCTTTCAGACTGGCTCATGTAGTTCTTGGAGGGAGCCTTCTTTGTCCCTTACGTCCATAGTTGTCAATGCTCATAGAATTCCTGGGGGCAGCTTTTGAAGTGCAGATGCCCAGGGGCTCTCTCAGGGGTCCTGGTACACCTGTTCTCAGTCTACCATCTACATTTTCACAGGGTCTCAGCCAATCCCTGTGTTCAGCCGAGGTTGAGAGCCACTCCTTACTTCATACACTATGAGATCTCAGGCACCTCACCTGTCCCCAGGATTGTATCAGAGACATGACCCAAACTGTCTACTTTTAGTCTTGCTACAAATACTGTAGCTCAGTGGCCTCTGTTTAACTGTGCATTACACACTGGGAATACAGTTTTATTTTAGATTTTTCAAAATGTTTCAAACATTCACAAAGTGGAAAGATTAGGATGATGAACCCCATGTACCCACCCACTGGCCTCAGTAGTTTTTAATCAATATTCTTCTGATTTGATCCTATAATCATCTCCACACAACTATTTTTGTTGCTGTTAGCATTTTATTTTATTTTTTAAAAAGTTCTGTCTTTTTGAGATAGGGTCTCCTTGTAGCCCCAACTGATCTGGAACTCACCTTGTAGATCAGGCTGATGTCGAACTCACAGAGATCTGCCTGCCTCTGCCTCCCAAATGCTAGGACTAAAGGCGTGCACCACCATGCCTGGCAAATTATTTATTTTGAGCTAGGGTATCCCTGTACCCCTGACTGGCCTGGAACTCATTATGTAGCCCAGGTTAGTCTTGAACTCACATATTCTTGACTTTGTCTCCTTGATGCTAGGATTAAAGGTGTATGCCACCACACCTGACCATTAGCATATTAAATAAATCCCATCCACCCTACAAATTCACTTGCAAATACTTCAGCATAAACACTTATGCCCACATGTATGTAAGTGCACCTGTGTCATGCAGTGCCCACAGAGCATAGAAAAGGGTGTCAGATCTTCTGGAACTGAAGTTACAGATGGTTGTTAACCACCATGTGGATGGTGGGATTCAAACCCAGATCTGCAAGAACAACCATTGCTCTTAACTACTGAGCCATCTCTCTAACCCCAACACCTATTTTTAACATGGCCTAATCTGAAACTTGGCTTGTATTTCTGTTTTAGATGTATTGATACACGCTATATGTGCTCTGTGCCTACTTCAGGCCTCCTCAGCATATCCATACTTAGGGCTGGATTATTCTTTGTTGGGGAAACCATTCTCGGTGTTACAGGATGCTCAGTAACACTCCTGTGCCTTTTCCTGATACCAATTTTGATAACTAAAAATATCTCCAGACATTGTGCAGTGTGCCTGGGGTTGGGAACCTCTAATCTATTGGAAATCTTAAGAAGTTAAGTATTGTTACACAGATGTATGGCCTGGGCTGTCCTCCCTTCCTGTCCTCCTCTATACCAAAAGGGAGATAGTGAAGCCAGCATCTGGAAATGGACAAACTCTTTACTTCCTCAAAACATCACAGGGGATAATGTAAATAAATTAATGAGTGAAAAACAAAGAGATTATCAGGGGCTACTTTAAATCCTTCCCATGTATAGTTGGAATCCCGAATTTTGTAAAACCCCAAATTGAGGGGTTCCATGCTTTATGTTAAGCTTTTTCTCTCCTCCTTCCCTCTTTCCCCTTCCTTCCATTCTCCCTCCCTCTCCCTCCCTCCCTCCTTTCCTCCCCCCTTTATTTCTCCCTCCTTCCTCTCCCTCCTCCTTTTCTTCCCTCCCTCATTCCCTCTCTTTCTGTTTTTCTCCTAACTACATCTTTCTGTCTGGTAGACAGGGAGCCACCCTCTGGAACCAGATCTGGACCCACCAGCCATTCCTCTAGGCCAGAGTCTCAGTCAAGTCTCTAGAGCTCATGGAGTGAGGGGCTGAACCGGAATGGGCCATTCATCATCCAGGAGGACTCAGACCATCCATTTGATCAGAGCGGACCACACAGGCTTAGGGCTCAGTGTCTTCAGGAGCCTGTTACCCTCTTTGCTGGTGGAGCTAAGCCAACTAGTGTGGAGTTTATTACCTGGCTCGTCAGCAGCTGCCAACAGTTCTGTATTCTGGTGACTTAACAAGCACTGTACAGGGACGGCAAAGATGAGGCAGAAGTGAGGGCAGTCAGCTGCTTCCGGCTGGGGCTTATGTCTTTTTCATGTGGATTAATGGCTTATTTGTTTCTTTAATATTAGACTTTACTTACCCATGTCAAAGCGTCAAGAATACCTGAAGAGTTCTGGGGAAAAAGTGCTGGCCAGCTTCCCTGTGCAAGCCACCATACACTTCTACAATGATGAATCTGAGTCAGATTCTGAGGAGGAAGCGCAAGAGGAGGAGGCCCAGCTGGCCCATCTGCGGTGCCTGGACACAGCAGGTCCTGAGGGCAATGGCCCAGGAGGAGAGGGCGGCCCAGGAGGAGAGGGCAGCGCAGTACTGGCAAGCTTGTAGGGAGCGAGGGATGGCTTCCCACAGTTGCCTCCAGATGACTGTGTGGGTGACACTGAATGAGTCTCTGCCATGCTGGTCCCCAGGGCCTCCATCCCATGTCCTGGGGACAGTCCTGGACAGTCCTGCCAGGACTCCAGCCTCCTCCCGTGAGAGCTCAGAGGCTGGCCCTCTGCTGAACACCTGCTCAGGGCAAGAACTCAGCTTTTACTTTTTCTTTTCCTGCTGATTCTTTTCAGTGCACTCATGCACATCTTTGAGAACGGGTGCCTGACAAAGAGGTTTACGTTGACACGGGCTGTGATCAGGAAGGGGACGTTCTGAGCCGGCACAGTGCTGTCCCTGCAGATCAGATTCCAATCCGACCCAGGGACCCATTATTTAGCTATTTTTGCTTTTGTAAAAATAACTTAGATATTAACTTCCATTTAACCTATTGTCCAAGGGTTGATTTGGTTGTTTAGTAACATTCTAAAAAAAATACACTACTTATGGAACAACAAAAAAATCAAAACACTGAACAATTTCCACAAGAATAAGAGGAAAGAAGATATGAATTTCTAAGGGATAAAATGGGTGTTTATAATTACCATATAAAGGTTATGCACACAGAACTCTTTGAGGGCTTTGTAAATGAGTACGTAAGTTGGAAAGGGGCAACTCATCTTACTTGATAATACTACGTCTTGTTATTTGCATAAAATAATACTTTTCAGTTCAAGTGTCTTATGTAAAATTTGTTTTGTATTTTACCATTTGGACGATCCAGTGACTACGCCCCTTAGGAGCCTTCATATCATCCTTGCCTGGAGTTGCCTTCCTATACATAGGACGTTTTATGAATTTTTACTTGGAATAAATATTTTGAAAGAATGTTTGATAATCATCTTTTCTTTGTATAAGACATTCTTAGAGTAATTCGTTCTTGTTCTGAAGTTTTTCAAGTTTTTTTTATATTTAACTCTTACCAAAATTGAATTTATCATTTTCACAAATACAGAAGAGGCTGGTGAGATGACTCCGTGGATAAAGGCACTTGCCACCAAGCCTGACAACCTGAGTTGGACCCCCAGAGCCCACATGGTAGAAAGAGAGAACTACAAGGTGCCCTCTGACCTCCACACATGTGCCATGACACATGCACACAAAATATAAACAGATAGTTTTTTCTAAAAAAGGATGCAAAAAAACCAGGCCTGATGATATAGGCCTGTCATCCCGGTTACTCAAGAGGCTGAGGTAGGAGGAGTACAGCTCAAGGCCTGCCTTGGCTATGGAGTGAGACCCTCTTTTTGTTTTTATTTATTTATTATATTTTATTTATTACTTTTATTTTATGTGTACAAGTGTATTGCCTGCATGTATGTGAGTGCACCCGTGTTGTGCAA